TATAAGAGACAGGCTTAGACCTCTCGGGCTCTCCAGCCGGGCAGCTTCAGTTCCCTTGCCCTGTCACGGCTGGGGACCCAACTTTCCGAAAGCAGAGGACGTGAACCTGACCTTTTTTTTTATGTTGTTGTTGTCCTCCTGCAGAGGTATACTTAAAGACAGATGTATAGATGCACCACTACCTCCCCCCCCCGCCCCTTGAATCTCTGTGTGTGTGTGTGAGCCCCCCCCAGCGTGTGTTTACAGAGAAGAGGGTCGCTGAGCTGAGTTTTGGGAATCTTTCCTTATCTGCAAACTAACCTAAAGCCCTGAGACGGCGGCTTAGCGGGCTGGGGCTGAGCAGGGCTCGGGGAGACAAACGGCCGCGCTCTTTAGCCCGATTCAAACACGAGCGAGGTGATTTTTTTTAATTTTTTTTTTAAGTGATACTGCGAGAGATCTCGCCTCCGGGCAGCCAGAGACAGAGAGAGAGGGAGGGAGGGAAGGAAGGAGGGAGGGAGAGGCAGACAGCGAGGAGGGGAGAGAGACGGAGCGAAGTTTGGAAGAAGTGAGCCGCTGCCGAGAGCTCAGCAAGTTTGTTTTTCCTTCCCAGCCTCGGAGCTGGCAGAGCCCGAAAGAGGGGACTGCTTGAGGACGGAGCTGGCGCATGTGTCCCTCGGGACTGATCTCCCTTTCCTTGCAGGTTTTAAGACCCGGAGGATACAATGTTCACTAAACTCTTCCAGCAGTGGAGTTTCGCCGTGTTTCTGCTGAGTTATTCCGTGCCCTCTTACGGGAGATCGGTAGAGGGAATCAGCCGCAGACTGTAAGTTTCTCTTGTTTTGTTGGTTTTGGGGTTTGTTGTTTTTTTGTTGTTTGTTTTTGGGTTTTTTTTCTCCTCGCTTGGGTGATGGGGAGGGAGGCGGCCGGACCCCCGACCACCAGGAGCAGCCCTGGGGGGCGCCGGTAGCGCTCCCGGAGTGACCCGGGGCTACCTGCCCCAGGTGAGATAGGCAGAAGGCGTTGGGGGCAAGGAAAGGGCATTTTGCCTCTGCCTGACCTTCTCAAGCTTTTGGGAAGGAGATGTCCAAGCCGAGGGTTCATTCCTTCCCTTGGGAGCAGCGGTGCTTGTCCGGCCGATCCCGCGCACCTCTCCGCGTCCTGGGAGGGTCCTAGTAGGGAGCATCCCGTTTTGTCACACTGCCGTTTGTTACACTAAATAACCTACACTTCTTCGGCACTGGCACGGAGCCAATATTGATAAGGGCAGGGGAAACATGCAGTAGCGAGGGTCATCGTGAAACTGAAGTAGTGAACGATTTCTTTGGACTTCTGCCACTTTAGAAAAAAAAAAAAAAAATCCGAAGCGAGCCCAGTATCTGACTTGGAGGCAGAGGCATATTTTTTGATAAATGATAATGTAACTTAAGAGAGTCAGTTCAGGAAATGACCTTTTTGCTCCTTCCAAAATAATCAGCATGGTTTGTACTAATACCCCCCACGCAAAGTGCAGAAGAGAAGCCACTGGGCTGATGTAGGAGCAGCTGTCTCACACATCTAACTCACTGGCTTTCACTGTACTTGCATCAGATTTTCTAAGGAAGAAACACCTCAGCCACACTGTGGAGGGCTGTATTGTTACTATATTCAAAAGGAAGTCAGATTGGAGAAAGAGGCTTGGAAAATCCAATCACAATTTATAGGGAAACATGACACAGCAAACAATTTCAGATGGTTTTCCTTGTAAATGTTTTACGACATACATAAGGACAAGATCTCCAAATAGCACTTCCTCTGCCATTTCAGAAAAAAAAAAAAAAAAAAAAATCCCCCAGGTGAAGTGACTTCAGACACACCTAAACTTTGGCAGCAGGCAGACAGCTATTACAAATCTCCTACAGCAAATTGTGTAGAACATGTTATTGCTGATAATGCTACAGCGTATTCTTCCCAGGCCATTAATGCTTAACTGGTTTGTACTCCTTCAGACTATTGCTGAGATGTTTCTTTCATCTGAGATCAGTTTCTTCTCTTTGGATACAGAGGAACCAAACTTTAGTTTTAGAAATTAAAAAATTGAAAATAATTGAAGTACAGTCAAATGCTGTTATTTTCTTGGCTCGGAAACTCTGAACTGGATCTAAGCCAAATTTTTGTTTGTTTGTTTGTTTTGGTTTTTGGGGTTTTTTAAATTAGATTTGCTAAGAAATTCTCTCTTTTTGAAGTTAGCGTTGTTCTAACACTTCTTTTTAAAGGTCAGGATTAGAGGTCTTCCCAACATCCCCATTCTGTCCTGAGCGGGGAGAAAAAAAAAAAAAAGTGGAAGCTAAAGAGCCAAAATCCATTTCTCAGCTCTCTCTTTGCTATGGCATGTAAAACACACACGAGAAACCAGTCAGCTGTCAGTTAGTGGCATTCACTTAGTTTTGTTTGTGGGTACAGCACAAACACAGACACCACACTCAAACATGTGTCCTGTTTTAATATCACCACAAACCATTCCTAGAGTTAATGGTTAATAACTCACTTAAGCCTAGAGATGGTTTTTTTTTTTTTTCAGTCAAAGGCTTAAACCAGCAACGGATGAAAATACTGAAGCACGTTATTAGAGCCATGCAGAAATAATCAAAATGACATAGGCCTGGTTCTACAGACTTTGCTGAGGCAAATCTCCCATGGAAAGCAATAGCAAATTGTCCCAAGAAAAGATTGCCAGACATATTATTTGTTATAGAAACGCTTTAGCTGCTGAAGAACTTCTGAGAAGCCCAGTAATGCCTCAAAGTGAAATTAGATATTTTTATCAGCGTGCCCAGACACTGCAGCACCATGTCCCCAGATCTGTTCAAAATATTTTTCCTAACCCTGAGATAGGTTGAGCAGTTTTCACTCCCTTTGGAGCCAGTGGCAAGGGCGCTCAGTCTTGCAAAATCCAGACAGAGAGCTGACTGAACCCTTTCCAGTTATTTTGCTGAACTTATGATCAGACCCAGTGTGAATAGTCAAGGATAATAGCGGTTAAATAAGAGCAAGTCTGAGACAGAAAGTTGTTGCTTGAAGAATGTTGCCTCTCAGTGACGCTAGATATCTAAGGGGAAAAAAAATGAAGAAGGAATGTGCCTGAAAAGAGCAGCTTATCTAGAAGCACATAAAGTCAGGATAGTCACAAGTCATGGATTTCTATTGTTTTCCCCATAATGAGACATTAAGTCTCGTGTGTGCATAGTGAACCAGATAGAGGAATGAGTCTGGACACTCCAGTCAGATACAAACCATCAACATCCTTCTCTCAGAAGTACCTACTACTTGGAAGCTCAGCGTTTACTGTGCTTGGTTTGGGTACAGAATCTTTTTCCTTGAATGAGAGGTGCATTTTATAGAAGGCTGGAAGGGACCTCTAGTGGGTCATCTTAACCCTAACAGCCTAATATTTTTTTTACATATCGTACCCAATATGTGAATGCAATCATTCCAGTTTCCATTGCCTTCCTACTCTATGTGTGTGGGTGATGTTGTTGATATCTCCATTATGAAGCACTTCTTACATCAGCCTTCTTGGGCAAGTGCTTTTCCCTGATTTACAAACATAGGAGTTGTTTGAATAACTGAGGCAGAAGGTCAAAGAGATATCTATCTACCACATCTTCTCTGTTTTAAGGAGATTTTTGATCTAGAGCATGCAAAGGAAGTTGGTAGGCAAAATGTAATCCTTAAGTCTGGCTGAGTAATAAAAGTCATGTGAAATATAACACTACGTAATGTTATACAATCATCTGGAATAGCAGAATGTTATTTGGGGCCAGACTTGATGCTAAATATCATACAGACGTTTAAACAGAAACCCACCCTCTTTGGCACACTGACCCCTCGCACGTCAATCCCCGCATTATTTTGGAAATGCATACTCACTCAACATGTAGACCTTGTAATGCTCTTTGACTGCCTTGTGTGTGCTGGAACCAAATCCTTAGGTTTCAGCTCTGTAAAATGGAATAGCTTTTCAGTCAAGAGTACTTTAATAGCAGGCTTTAGAGATTCAAGATTTTGTCACAGTGGGTAAATTGACCAAATACACATTACAGGATTAAGGCAGCTTTAGGTTGACTGTGATAAAAAGGAATTATCCTTGGTAGTTTACAAGAGGCAGTAGGAAAGCTTTGCTCATCGCATGAGGCATGCTGTTTTAGACTCAGTAAAGCACTGAGATTTTGTGTGCTTTTCGTAAACGAGAATAGTGAAACGAGAACTGCATTTCCCATGCAAATATCCTGGGAAAATAGATCACTGAAGCTAGGAATGTAACGTGAGCAACAATGGACAGCTCGACAAGCAGCACAGAAGGATGCTACTCCGAGGAGTCCAAGGTACTAGTTTTATTAGCGTACTTGCAAATCAGACGGACCTTAATGAGAAGGTTGTTAGAAATGGCTATTGGAGAGCTTCAGGGAGCGCACCGGTCAAAAAAATTCTCCTGGGGCAGATCTTGAGCTTGCGTGAACGGTCACACCGAAGAGGACGGAACAATGTGGGTTCAGCTCAATATTATCACATTGCGTTTTTGCTTAAGGACACCGAGTGGAAGGGCATAAAATATTTGCCCTGAAGCCTGAAGTTGTCCTGATTTTGGGATGCTTAAAACACAAACAAAGCTTGGTCAAATGTGTATACTCACAAACCTGAGTATATGTAGGCCTGATTTTGAGCAAGCATCCCTACTGTATGACTTCATGCCAAAACAGCAGTCATCTTTCCGTGTCGTTGTGGAATGAGGGAAAGCTGCTGTTGGAATTTCACACTAATAGGGACGTAGTATCACTTGAATCCATCACTTGAACCCAACACTCAAAAAGCGCAGCTCTACAAAGACAAACATTGAGGGGGAATACTCTTAAACCAATGTTACTTGAAGTTGCCAATTTCAAATCGCTCTACTGTTGATTAATCGCAGATCTAAAGAATTTGGCTGAAGGGACTGAGAAAGATCAGTTGCAGAACACTCCCAGTCATTCAGCATGTTGTCTTTGTCCACCGCATTTTGACATGTGGTAATGTAGCAGGGTAACTAGGTATGGGTTGGAAGGAAGGAATATTCACTCACAGTTATGTGTTTTCTCCCATTTCACCCACATGCAGAAACAACTGCTTATCCAGCTAACTGACCAAATGATTATACGACAGGCAAGGCAGCGAATTCCTTTTCTTTGGCCAGTAAGAATCCGGTCACATGCGGTACCCTGATGCAAGATGAGAGGCTACATAGCCAATCTGCACACTGAAGTAGGGCAGTTGGAAGGATAAACTGTATTATAGCATTCATGGGAACACAGCTAAAATCCCAGCTTGTGCTCTTTCTGTGGTTCACAGTGCAGCTGTGCGTCTATCCCAGACCAAGGAAAAAGCATGTATTTTCTCACGGTCATTTATTATCCAGGTGCCACTTGTATCTTCTTTCCTCAGATGTTTCATACCTTCTTTTGCCAGTACAATATCTCTAAAAGACAGAGAGCTAACCATCTCCCAGTTCCTCGAAAACAAGACAGGGGTTGGTGAACCAAAAGGTCACGAACTCAGGAGAAGTAGCCGAGAGCCACTCAAACGAACCAGAATGCTCTTGAAGAAGATCCAGCACAGAGGGCTACCATAAAACTCAGAGAGCGCAGCAGATGAGAAATTTGGTCCCAAGAGATCACACTCAAAGGAATACTAGAAAGGCTTCTAAAACCATAATTAGACACAAGTAGCCAAGCGGTAAAATCAACGGGAGTGGCTGAGGCTCATCTCTGCTGATGCTCAGGCTGCCTGGATAGCTCGTTATGGCCTGAAGTGCCTATGTTTTAGGCACCCAAATTCAAACATTTTTCCATTACGCTCCTATAATTACACTTATTTAAATTTAGAAGTGAAATGCACTCTGATGCACTTATTTACGTTTTTGAAGTACACGACTGAGCAGAAGGAAATGATTAGACTGATGTTGTATAAACACTCCTTCCGGACTCAGTGCAAGTACTCGTTACTGCCTCTCTTGCTCGACTGCAGTGCTCCGTTATCTGACCCTTTAGTTTTCCCATCTCTGACAACTGTCATCCTGCTTTTACTGCCTGAAGTGTGATATATTAAGAGTTGTAATGCTTTCTTAGAACAGAGCAGTGACTAATCCACCTCCAGGTCCAGTGGTGTGTGATCGGTCAGCTGAGAATTATTACCCACTTAGGTCTTTCCCTTCTCTGTAGGGAGCAGCTACTCTCAGAAGCAGGACTTGCTCCAGCAGTCTGACTTAACTGGATGTCTCCAGGCCTGAGAGCTGGTACACAGTCACTGTGGCCACCACTGCCAGAGGAGAGCGGAGTTCTGCCAGGTACTAGGCAATAACCAAATCCTAAATGTTTTTTATTTCCCCCTCCCCTCTTCTCTTTCTTTAGCAAACGGGCTGTATCAGAGCACCAGCTATTGCATGACAAGGGCAAGTCAATCCAAGACTTACGAAGAAGAATATTCCTTCAAAATTTAATTGAAGGTGTCAACACTGCAGAAATCCGTGCAACTTCAGAGGTTTCACCTAACCCTAAGCCTGCTACCAACACGAAGAACTACCCTGTCCGATTTGGTAGTGAAGATGAGGGCAGATACCTAACTCAGGAGACAAACAAATCACAGACCTACAAGGAGCAGCCCCTGAAGGTATCGGGGAAGAAAAAGAAAGCAAAGCCTGGAAAACGTAAGGAACAAGAGAAGAAAAAGAGGCGAGCCCGCTCGGCTTGGCTAAATTCTGGCATGTATGGAAGCGATGTGACCGAGAGCCCACTCTTGGACAACTCTGTTACTACACATTATCACACTTTAAGGTAATTCTGCTATATCCTTTTGGGGGGAATACCATGTATTTACTGAAATTGTTACCCTTCGGTGTGAGAGGCCAAGGCCTCACTCAAACCTGGAGTAATAGCACACCTTTATGCTCAAAACTGGGCCACAGCTTTCCAAGCAGTGCACAGTCTCAAGGTACTTTCTGGAGGTAAGTAAGTACCCTTTCCCCTTTCCACCGGTGACAAAATCTTTCTTACCCATGACAAACAATTCGAGTAAACCACTTACAGCCACAGTGAGCTTCCTGAAGCTGAGCGAGTAGTAAGTAAAGTTATTTCTGCGAAAAGAAAGCACATCATAGCCGTTAATATTTCCTTTCCTGTTTTAACCTTAGTGTCTCTCATCTCAGGTCTTGGTCCCACACTTGGGCCTCAGCAGATTGAAAGCTTCGAGTTTTATTTAAGGCTCTGCATCTATAAAATGGTGAAGTTTTCTTTCCTCCCTCTCAACGCCTCCCCTTTTTGGCAACTTTCCTACCCTTACTTTACAGTTTTTCATTTTACTGTTTAACCTTAGGGGAGAACACGGAAAATTTCTCTCTTAGTAATATCTGCAAACAACGCAGACCAGCCTCTCGCCATAAAATTTTCCCTGCCATTAGGACTTTTTAATTCAGCTCCATCTTTTTTGCCAGCTCGTGAAACAATTACGTTGCTGCCGAAAAATGTTGAGCATTGGTTTTGGAGAGAGACGTGCTTCCCTCATGTATGACAATGAAGCGTTTTTCAGGGCAGTGGTGGGCTGGAGACTTCAGCCTAGGTAACCCAAGTGATTCAACCTCCTGAAGTCATCTCAGCCGGAGTGGAAGTCTGCAAACTTGCAGACAAAGGCAAGAAATTCACTCCTCAGGTCTCCTCAAATGTTTGCATTCTCTAGAGCAAAAACGCACCCTTTCCTGTCACTTTGACAGAACAGGGGCATAAGAGAAGTGTCACTTGCTCACAGTAAATCCCTTAGGAAGAGACACCACTGAGGGATTTACTAAAATCCAGTCTTGGGTTAAGCTTTACAGGCCACAGTTTGCAACGTGCTCCATCACCTCAACTTCTACTGAAGTTCTACATGAGTTTACATCTTCCTCTACATGAGTTACCAGCACCTGGGGCTCGGCATTCAGTGTCCTGGACCACAAACCAGTTGGCATGGCTGTAGCAGTTAGTACTGAAGTAAGAGAGGCTGGTTTGTCTTAGGACAAACTTAGGGAAAGCGCACTCTGGGACTCTGGTCAGGAGACACCTAATGTTTCAACAGCTCTTCAGCAACTGTGGTGGCCAATAAATAACATTGTTTTCGGCACACAGAAATCTTGAATGTAGGGAAAAAACTTCCTAGGGCATTTCAACTCATTTCTTTTTCTTACTACTCTGTCTTTGGTTGTATATCCAATGGGATATGTGAAAGAAATTACAAGTACAATCCTGTTGATTTTCCTAGTTCGGTCTTTCTGTTTCAAGTATGGCCGGATGGCTGAAGGCAGTCAGCATTACTGTGGAGTCCAGACTGCTGAAGGCAGGCCAGCTTTACCTTACTGATATTGCTGCCCAAGATGCAGTATTTCTCCAGGGCAAGAAACAGATTCCTAAAGAGGACCTACATTCTAAATACTTAATTGAAGATGATTAAGCAAAAAGCAGCCCTAAAACAGGAAAACGAAATTCCTCCTTCACAAGTATAGAGCATAATATTCTGGTTCAGCTCTTAAGAAACTACTAGTGTACAAGCTTGTAGTTATCCCAGTAGGCTGGCAAAAGATGTAATTTCTAAACGTTAAATGAAAGCAAGTCCCAACTCCCTGACATGTACTTTAGAGAGGGGGAGCCAGGTTCAAGGTCTATGTGGTTGCTGGCGCACGGTGGACAAGCACATTTTAGATGGAGGGATGGGCACATCTGAGTGAGGCTGATTCCTCAGCTGGACTGAGCTGGGTCAGGAACTTCTACTCTATGTGCCGGTGGAGGGAAAGGAAGGTGTGTGCAGGCAGGATTTCTTGCTTCACCAGGAGAAGCTGCTTTTGTAGCACCCCTAAGGCCAGCTGCAGCTTTTGAGAAGCATCATTACAGTGAAGAAGTGGACATGCATAATGCAGCGGGGTAAATGTCCAGGAACTGCAAAGATAAGCTTCGTTCATGCTTTTCGCTGTAACTTTGTGCTTTTCTGCTCAGCACACTGAATTAAAATTCTTGTAGCAGTTCCCTTTGCCCAACCTTGATCCCAAAATTTTGGGTTTAGGTCAGAAAGAAGACCAAAAATAATGTGCTCCCTAGATCTTTTGACTTCCTACAGGAAGTATCTCATAAAAGAAGCCAGTCTTGCAAAATCTGGGACCAAATCACAGAAAGCAGCTTGCAAGTAGTCATTAGCACAGAGACCATTGTCGCGATGTGGCTTAGCTTAAACTCTGAAACAAAACCTAAAATCCAGATACACATAGACAGTCACGTTGTATGAGTTGTGCATCATTATTATACAGACTGTGTTATAGCCTGAACACACCCAAGTATTACTAGTTAATTATTAAGGAGCCTCATGCTAGCGTTTCCATTCCAGGCACTTAAAACACATGGACATTCCAACTATATTCCCATTCCAATTCGATTAAGCTGTTATTACCTAATTTCCTAAGGAACCTTTCAAATGAGTAAACTCCCTAATGTTAAACGTAGTCTCATTTTCAATGTACACATTAAAACCCCCTCTCACATGCTCAAAGATTTGCTTTTTGTGTGTGTGTGTCACACCCACACACGTCTGCCATGTGGAACACTACCCACAGTCCAGCAGGAGAGAATCCTGCTCCATCCCATAGCTACACATTCCACCCTATAGCTGTTTCCCAGGGAACCAACATGCAATTACAGAAATGTGCCGTTGACAGGGGCAGAAGGGAAAAAAGCCCAACCCACCCCTTCAGCATTTCCTGCAGCACCGCTAAGAAGTAACTTAAAATAATGTTGTGGTATAGGGAAAATACTGACAGGGTAGGAGCAGCCGCTGCTTTTGTTCTCATGCTCGTATGGAAGGGAGGAGGAGAGAACTCACACCAATCTGCCAGCATCCCGTAGAAAACTCCCAAATCTGTACACAGCCGACTCTTTCAGCTCGGACTGAATGCAACAGGAGTCAGAGCTTAACACTACAAGACGCTCGTTTTCTATCAGGACCAAGCTCTTTGGCTCCCAGAGGGGAAGTTTCAGGTTTCTAGTCTTTTCATTCATTCAAGCACTTAAAGACACACGTTATCAAGGGTCTGTTCACCTCAAGACCTGAGCAGCCTTTACTGCACATACTCGTGTACATGACACCACGGAAATAAATACCTCTAAGATGAACAGGTGGCCTGTCGGTGGGAAAGACAAAGCAAATAAACCCCGTGAGACTGCTCTGATCACAAGCCTGGCATCCCACCCAAGCAGTTAACACAGCAGGGCCATGATCGCCACAGCATCCAATAAGGACCTTCTGTTTCTGCTATTCAAACAATTTTTCTCATTTCTCCAACTGTATTTTTAAAAGTTTTAGCACTTGGCATATTTATTATAGGTTGATACAATTTTTCTACCTGTAGCGCTCAGGAATCTTCTTGCACGAGGCTCTAAAGAAAAGCAAAACCCTTTCCTATTTCTCTGAATATACAATATATCGGAATAGTTGGCCTCAGTGTCATGACAAACCGCAGGTCTTCATACCACCAGATGAGATGCACTGAAGAAAATATCATAGAGGTCTTGAAAAGATGTCTAAACCAGTACAATTGTTAAACAGGTCTTATTACTGCAGGTGTTCACTAGCAAGGTATACCCATTATAGTCTGTGGCACTCTTGCTTTTAATTTTATATCCATGTATTTGACTTGAAAAATTAAATTTTTCTCTTTTTCCTGTCCTTTTTTTTTTTTTTTTTCTCTGCAGGAGGCGCTGACATTTTCAGCAAGAGATTTTTGGAAGACGTATTGCAGTATTCTGTAATAGTGAACGTATGGGAAGTATTAAAATATTTATTACCTGTAAATATTGTAAATGCTCAGAATAAAACCTTTTTCCCCCATTGCTCTCTGAAACTGCACATTTGGTTATTGTGAATTTTCCCTTTTTTTTTTTTTTTTTTTTTTTTTTTTTGGCTAAGGCTAAGACAATTATTATTGTCACATTTACCATAATTTATTTTGTTGACTGGTGTATTTATTTTGTGAACGTATCTTGGTGCTGCTGACTTTCTATATTTTTTTTGTAACATAATGCACTTTAGATATACATATCGAGTACATTGATAACTGACATAAAATGTTCCTGTTTTGTGGTTGACTTCAATGAATGCCTACATACAATTGTTCAAACTGATTTTCCTTTGTGCATGTATAATAGCAGTATTTTAAAATTTGTAAAGAATGTCTAATAAAATATAATCTAATTCAACCATGACTCAGAGGGAAAAATGTGTCCTTTAGGAATTTCAAGGGCAGGGATACTATTTTTTTTCTTTACTACATTTGAAAATCATTTTAAATTTAATGTGTTTACATTGGTTCAAACTCCCACATTTTCACATTAGCTTTTACTTAAAAATCACTCAGACCATATTTTGTTCCAGTGGTCTATTTTAAGTCAGCTAAGTTGCTGAACAACCTGGGGGTACTGTCATAGAGCTCAGACCCCGCTGCAGGGAAAACACGATTCCCAACCTTTCCAGCCCCCAGCCCTGCAAAAGCACAAGCATTACACCCTCTGAATGAGAGGATGTGAAAAGCAGCCCCAGGGGTTGCATCACTTACTACACTCTTGGAAGGTGCTCACATGTCACACCCCATAGCCTTGTTCAAAAAGAGACAGATGCTCAGCACCCTCGGCTCCCACCAACTCTTCTCAAAGATGCAAAGATGAGGAGAATCTCAGCTCTTTGTGCTCTGAGACCTTCTTATGTCGATGTGAGTCGGGGCAAAGAAAGTGTTTCCTGGGTGAACATATGAAGGAAAGAAAAAAAAAAAAAAA